GGAAATTTGAGTGGGTTGTTTTGTTGTGCCTTTTTTTTTTCTTTTTCTTTTTGGTGGCCTGCTTGCTTGCTTGCTTGCTTGTTTGTTTGTGGTATCTACAAGTGGAAAACATTTTCTTCTCCTCTTTTGGTTGTTTTTTGTCTCTGCCCAGCAAGGGTAATATGATGCAGGGGGAAATAGCATGAGCTTTGGAGTTAAATCCACCTCAGTTTGACTGTGCCACTCAGTAGTTGTGTAGCTGGGCAAGTGGCTTACTCTTTCTGTGTCCAGTTTGCTTCTCTGAAAATCGAGATACCAATACCCAGTACCAAAGTACCCAGGAAGACAGAAGGACATCAGATGGTATTTTTCTTTTCTGCAGCCCATTCATTTTCCACTTTCCCCCACTGCCAACTTAAAGAAATAGTTCAGACCAAAGAAAAGATGCTTTTATCTGAACATCAGAAGTTGACTGATAATCCTAAATCATTCTTAAAAAACATTTAAATATTAGATTTTAACAAGTATGCTGCATTCCAGCCTGAAGACTAAACTAGGGAAGCATATTTTTATAGGGGATAAGAATGCAACCTTTGTAAAGGTAGGGGTTGGGAAGCACTAATTTGCTAATTTGGGGGTTTATTTGTATCCTGTTTCTAAGCATTCCTCTGCTAAAGAAATCATCTTTCTTCACTCAACACACAAGGCTGTTGTTGGCGATCAAGGCATCAAGGGGTGCTGATGCAGGGGAATGTTTACTCCTGCTCCAAGAAGCAGCTGGCCTTGGCAGTCAATGTCATCCAAATCAAATATAGATCCTTGTACTTTACATATTTATTTAAATTCCAAGAGGTACATTGAGAACATGCATAATTAGCCGGGGTTACAAAGTTGGCTTTTCAGAAGGCATATTTACCTAGAGAAGGTATGCATATTTCATAAAAAATAAACACCATGTGAAGAAACACTCTGCCTTTGGCTTGATTTTGATGTGTTTTCCCAGTGAAAAGCATGCATTCCTCCAGTGATCATTTAGTTTTAAAACAAAGCATGTTGCATTAATAACTATTTGATACTTATTAGTAAGTTATTACACACAGAGTTCTAAGGAAACACTGATATATTTTTTAATGTGCAAAAATAATTTTTAAGTAAATTGAAACTTGTTGGAACTTTGTCATCACAGTACCTCTAAAAAGAAATTGCACAAGAAGGGAACTTGATTCTCTGCTTACTGTATAAATAAATACAATGAAGATAAAAATGTGGGAGGGAGAGGGGCAGACACAAAGGGGAGCAATCCCTTTGTGCTTTGTGACGCCGAGCTAGAGTAATGTGAAGACAAATTCATTAATTCTGAAATGGAACCAAGGCCCAGAGAGGTGGAAAGTCATGTAGCTGTCTAGTGTTAGAAACCAGTGTTCACACCTCTATTCCAATAGCCTTTTTTAAAACAATTTTTAAAAATTTATTTATTTTATTTGAAAGGCAAAGTTTCAGAGAGGCAGAGTTAGAGATCTTCCATCCTCTGGTTCACTCCCCAAATGGCCTCAATGGCCAGAGCTGAGCCAATCTGAAGCCAAGAGCCAGGAGCTTCTTCTGGGTCTCCCACACAAGTACAGAGGCCCAAGTTTGGGCCATTTTCCACTGCTTTTCCAGGCCGTAGCAGGATCGAAAGTGGAGCAGCCAGAATTCAAACTGGTGCCCATATAGGATGCCAGCACTGCAGGTGGTGGCTTTACCCACTACACCACAGCACTGGCCCAAAGTCATAAATTCTGAGAAAGTGTAATAAATGATATATCAGTAATAATGGCTCTAGTATTTGTAGAATACTTACTGCAAAGTAGGCATTGGTTTAGCCCTTTATGTATGTTATTCCTTTTCATTTCTGTAACCAACCTGTGAAGTTCCTAGTAACTTATTTTTTACTTGTGGAGTTGAGGAAACTAGGACTTAGAAGCTTTCTCACTTACTGACAGTGACACGGTTACTCAGTGGTGGAGCCACTTCAGCAAAAAGCATGCTTCCAGTTTATCATGGGAAGTGTTTTCCTAGAAGCTAAGGGATCAGAGAGAGAGAAGACCTGGATCTCCCCTTCTGGGAATTTACATGTTAGATAGAAACTAACATTCAAGATGGACATGTTAGAAGAGTTCCTTTCAAATGTTTTTGACTACAATACTTAGTAAGAAATACATTTATACTGAAACATGTATACATGTATTTAAATATGTTAATTATAGATGAAACATGCTTTATTAAATCACTGCATAGTTTTCCATTGTATTTTTCTCCTGAGTTTTTGAAGACCCCTCATATGCATGGATTTTAAATTTCTTTGCACCAAAATAAACTTTTTTGATTCCATTTTCCATGACGCTTTTGGAAGTAATTATGTATATGCTGATACTTTCTATTCTAGATTGTTCTATTTTTATTTATATTTTAAGATTTATTTATTTATTGAAAGACAGAGAAAGGTCTTCCATCCTCTGGTTTACTCCCCAGATAGTTGGTGACAGGGAAGCACTCTTTTTTTTTTTTTTTTATTTTTTTTTTGACAGGCAGAGTGGACAGTGAGAGACAGAGAGAAAAGTCTTCCTTTGCCATTAGTTCACCCCCCAATGGCCGCTGTGGCTGGTGCACCGAGCTGATCCGAAGCCAGGAGCCAGGTGCTTCTCCTGGTCTCCCATGGGGTGCAGGGCCCAAGGACTTGAGCCATCCTCCACTGCACTCCCTGGCCACAGCAGAGAGATGGACAGGAAGAGGGGCAACCTGGACAGAATCCGGAGCCCCGACTGGGACTAGAACCCTGGTGCCAGCGCCACAGGTGGAGGATTAGCCTATTGAGCTGTGGCGCCGGCCAGAGAAGCACTCTTAACCACTATGCTGTACTTGTCAACTTGTCCGAAACTAATGAACATTAATGAATTCCATCTCAAATTCCTTTCATTGCTTCAGAGATTTAAATATTAGAGAATCCTCTTTTTATGATTTTAAAAAATTAATATAAAAATAGATTTCATGTATTTCATAGGTACAATTTTAAGAAGATAATCATACTTCCCTCCCTCCCTCAATCCTTTTTTCCTTTAATTTTTGCAATAACATGATTTCACTTTACCATGTAATCAGAGGCTTACTATAAATTTATCAAAGAAAAAAAGCATCTGTTCTAGAAATTGAAAGCCGCACAAGTTTTCATATTTTTGTTATTCTAAAAAATATTTATTTACACATAAAACCTTATTATTTGAAGAGCTTTAAAAATATTTTGACTCCTCCTGTGTGTCTGTGTCTGTATAGATCAGTCCCTTCTTTTTTTTATTTTTATTTTTTTATTTAGTAAATATAAATTTCCAAAGTATAGTTTATGGATTACAATGGCTCCCCCCCATAATTTCCCTCCCACTTGCACCCCTCCCATCTCCCTCTCCCTCTCCCATTCCATTCACATCAAGATTCAGTTTCAATTATCTTTATATACAGAAGATTGATTTAGTATATATTAAGTAAAAATTTCATCAGTTTGCACCCACACAGAAACCCAAAGTGTAAAATACTGTTTCAGTACTAGTTATAGCATTACTTCACATTGGACAACACATTAAGGACAGATCCCACATGAGAAGTAAGTACACAGTGACTCCTGTTGTTGACTTAACAATTTGACACCCTTGTTTATGGTGTCACTAATCTCCCTAGGCTCTAGTCATGAATTGCCAAGGCTATGGAAGCCTTTTGAGTTCGCTAACTTTGATCTTATTCCGACAGGGTCATAGTCAAAGTGGAAGTTCTCTCCTCCCTTCAGAGAAAGGTACCTCCTTCTTTGATGGTCCCGTTCTTTCCACTTGGATCTCACTTGCAGAGATCTTCCATTTAGGTCTCCTTTTTTTTTTTTTTTTTCCCCAGGGTGTCTTGGCTTTCCATGCCTAAAATACTCTCATGGGCTCTTCAGCCATATCTGAATGCCTTAAGGGCTGATTCTGAGGCCAGAGTGCTGTTTAGGACATCTGCCATTCTATGAGTCTGCTGTGTATCCCGCTTCCCATGATGGATCGTTCTCTCCCTTTTTGATTCCATCAGTTAGTATTAGCAGACACTAGTCTTGTTTGTGTGATCCCTTTGACTCTTAGACCTATCAGTGTGATCAATTGTGAACAATCAGTCCCTTCTAAATGCATTTACTGTCTGGTTACTGTCCTTACCATTGCTCTGAAACTATGCTCGACAAGCTACACTGGCCCTATGATCACTAAGTGAAGGATCAGTTCTCCATCTTTATTTCATCTGATAAACCTTCAGTGGGAGACTGTTAAATAATTCCTTAATTGTTATTCCTATCTTCATTTGTCATCTTCCTTCTTCACAGGTTTATCAAATAGAAAATAAACATAACATACAACAGTATGCTTGGAAACTGTGCAATGCTATTAAAACAGAAGGATTAGAAGATATATATGAAAAACTAAAGAAAAATTTTAAGAGTTACAAACATACGTGCTATTTTTTCTTGTGAAATGAAGATGTTCCTGTCAATTAGTATTCTTTTCAAGCATGGCTCTTGATTTAAACACATGCTGTTCCTTCCAGAAATCAATGGCTTAGGCTCATGGCCATGTTTTTAATATATCTTTTGAAGTTTTTATTATTTATTTGAGAGAGAGAGAGCACTCAAGGGCTCCCATCCACTAGTTCACTCCCCTAATGCCTGTATCACCTACACTGGACTGAGCCCAGTGCAGCAGCCAGGAGCTCAGTCCAAGTCTCCCACGTGGTGTGGCAGGAACCCAGCTCCTTGAGCCATCATCTGCTGCCTCCCAGGGTGTGCATTAGTAGGAAATTGGAATCAGGAGGAGAGCCAGTACTCAAATGCAGACACTTTGATAAGGGATGCAGGCATCCCAGGTGCATCGTAACTTTTAGGCCAGACGTCTGTGCTGCTCGCTGCTCGTGGCCGTGTTTAATGGACAAGGAATGTCCCTGTGACAGAAGTAATCTCTGGCATTCTCTTCTAGGTATTTACCTTGCTGTGGATTGCTGACTGGATGGTCCACCACTTCTGGAGGAAAGGAAAGGACCCGGATAGTTTCTCTATCCCTTACCTAACGGCGTTGGGTGATCTGCTTGGGACAGCTCTGTTGGCCTTAAGTTTTCATTTTCTTTGGCTCATTGGAGATCGAGATGGAGATGTTGGAGACTAATCAATCCTACAAACTGCTTCCAAATTACCAAGGAGGAAGACACAAGACAACCACTTCTGGCTCTCTTTCAAAACTCTTAAATCAGTAATTTGATTTTTGCCAGGGTAATCTTCAGTTGGCCCTGAGATTCAATTAAATGGCCTTAACTTTTTTTTTTTAAGGAATTTGTGTTGAAACCACAATGAATATTATTTGTGCTGCTTTTTGTAGAATAAATTATCATTTGACATAGACATAGATACATGTTCCAACTTTGAAATTAATTAAATATGAAAAAATTTGAATGTTTGACAATGAATAATTTTAAAACCACAGATACAGCAGAAATGTACTTTCTTATTGTCCAACTGGTAACGCAAGGTTAGAGGAAACTGTGCTCTAGCTCTTAGTGTAGCTGTTTCGTCTCACAGGTGTGTTAACTGTAAAGCAGACTGTCACATGAAAGGTGCCAGCCAAGGTTTTAGTATTTTTAAGTACGCTTACCTCTGTGCTCACCGAGGATAAATTCACCAACTACTTGTTCCTAAACTGACCAAAATAATTCTGCTGAGCACAAGGTAAACTCACTTTTACCTGCGTCTAAAAGTACCCTGTGCTAATGCTAACTCAATTTCAACTCTGCCAACTTCTTGGCAGGCTGCCCTTTAAACATAGAATGATCTTGAGAGATCATTAATGAAAGCAGTAAGCCATTTTAAATTATTGATTTGTTGAATAAAAAGTTGGTATTTTTCAAACAACCTGATAGTCAAAAGCAGAAGATACCCTAAGCTGCATTTGTAGAAATAAAATGATATGAGAAATTTTGTGTGTGTGAGAGAGAGGCCTTTGCTAAAAAATGAAATCTTGGATAGTAAAGATGGTAGCGCTGCTGGAACATCAGCATTATAGGGTGATTCTTAAACAGGTTTTATTTGTATGCTTTCATCATTTGGTCCAAAACTGTTGCTGCCAACCAGAATTTAGTATTTGTTACCTATGTTGTAATTAACAGTTCCTTCTTATTTACAAAAAACTGTTTAATCAAGTTTTAAGATTGAGAATGACTAAGTGATTTGTTTGTACTTTTAAGGAAGCCTGTCATTTACCCTTTTAAAAGAGAAGTTGGTGAGTTCCCTCGCTTATTGTTCATGGCTACACTTATCATCTGTTTGCATATGGGACACTAGCATATACACTGTTCCACTTCTCAGTTATTTTTCTAAAATTTGGCCCAATATGCTAAATAACCAACACTTTGGTTATTCAGTAGATAAGCATTTTCATATCACATATAGTTCATTTCTTAAAATGCGGTACAATCTCTAAAAACCATTAGATATTTAATAATTTAAAACTGAAAAGGGAAGAATAAAACATGCACATTAACTTTGATCATGGTTTCAGTTGTGTTAGTGTTATATAAACAGTAGGTTGTTCATAAATATATTGGAAGTATTCTTTCTAAGCTCTTCAAAGGGGCTGTAGTTTAGAGTTATATATTTTTGCTTATTTTTTAACTTTAATTATTCCATCATTCTGCCTGATAATTAAGCTTTAAGGCAGAGAACTGAACTAATTCTACAATTTCTCCTTTGGAGAGTTAAATGTCACATAGTGAACATTCTTATAAAAGAAAGAATGGTTACATTTAAGTTGATGAATACTTAGCTGCAAAGATTTTTTTAATTTTTTATGAAATCCATGAGTGAGGTCTTTGATTTTATTGTAAACCACTTATTTATATTTGGTCTGTGTGATTTACAATCATTTACATTTCCCAATGATTTCTGTTTTAACACCAAAAAAAAAAAAAGCAGAGCAAGTTACATCATTAAAGCATTAACCAATCAACAACTGGTAAAGTGCATATTCTGAAGCACATTCGGACACATTATGTCACTTAGTATTCCTGTCTATTTCACAGCGCAGAAAACTGAAACTCGGAGTCGTTACTTTTGTAATATGTATAGCTGCAAAGTGACTGTGTTGTGAAGTCCCTAAAGTCCAGTCTTCTGGGCCAGGCTTCTTGTTATATACATCTGTGATCCTCTAAGTACACAGAGAGAAACCAATTGGAGAAGCAGAGTTTTCTAAAAATCAAAGAGTATCACTATATCTTTCAGATTTCAGATTGAGAAACTTCTGTTAAATTTTTCTTCACAGTAAGGATAGCCAACCCTAAATTATTTGTACTCTAAGATCAAGGAAAACAAGAATATTTTATAAAATAGTTTCCATTTTTTACACATTAAATCTTTGGAATAAAGAATCATGCCTTGTTTCATAGAACATATCATTGTCACCGTTCTTTTCAGATCTTGCCATTTGCTATAAGTGATAACAAAACTAGTATTACAGTCCAAGTGTTGGCCTTTGTCTTTTGCTGTTCAACCTTGGTTAGAGCAACAAAAAGTCTGAAAGGTGTGTAAGGACAAAAGGGAAAATTAGTGACTGATTAGCTGAATTAACTATGAAAGCGATGTAGATTCCTTTTTAAAAAGTATTACCTTTTGAAAGCCTTCCCATATGCGTGTAACCAATAAGGTGACTTCTTTTTATTTGCCCACAAAAATAATTTATTATCAGTCTTATATGTAAATCTACAGTATTTATTTTTATACACCATAGAAACTCTTGTTTTCTGGACTTCTTCCTTTCACTAATTTATGAGACACTTCATTTACATATAGATAACCTTTTCAGGACATTTTTCACTGTTGCCCACCAGCCATTTTTTTTCTTTGGGAAATAAAGTTTCTTAGGGCCTGATAAAATGAAAAATTAAAGTAATGTAGCTTCTGGGAGACATCAAAAAGTTCCACACCATAGACTGTCAATGACATAGCCAAATAAATGAAATAGAGGTTTAAAAGTCTTTCAGTAATTGGGCTTTCTCGCCTTACCATGTATCTGTTGTATAGAACACCCATTTAAAGTGGGTGTCTACCACCTTTGAATTGTTGTAGACTCCAATAAGAATAAACTTTGAGAAATATTTACCCCAGCCTTGTCATGCTTGCTTCTTGATGAAACAGCCGGTGTCAAGCCTGTGTGGAATCTCCCAGCAGAGACGGGGCTGATCTATGATCTGTGTTTATGAAGTGGAATAAACTAGACTCCCATACCTGGACCTCCTCTCCATTGCTTTACTGCTCACTTCTCTCATTATCTGACTTAGAATCCTTCGTCCATCAGCACATCCATCTGCAACGGACTCCTTCATACGTGCCAGACAGAACACCAGCTCTGGCTGAGTACAGCACTCTGTCAATGCTGTGTCTACCTAACCGGCTAAATATGGCTCAGGGAGGCCAGCGCTGTGGTGTAGTTGGTAAAGCCACTGCCTGCAGTGCCAGCATCCCATATGGGTACTGGTTCGAGTCCCGGCTGCTCCACTTCTGATCCAGCTCTCTGCTATGACCTGGGGAAGCAGTAAAAGATGACCCAGGTTCTTGGGCCCCTGCACCTGCGTGGGAGACCTGGAGGAAGCTCCAGACTCCTGGCTTTGGATTGGCGCAGCTCCGGCCATTGCGGCCATTTGGGGGAGGTGAACCAACAGGTGGAAGGCCTCTCTGTCTCTGTAACTCTGCCTTTCATTCAAATAATCTTCTAAAAAATCATCTTTAAAAAGTATGGCTCGTGAAACAAACACAACTATGCTAGCAGAGCTTTAAATTACAACCTCACGACACAGTAGGATAACCTGTCGTTGAGATGCCCATATCTGACATCCAAGTGCCTGTTCCAGTCTCTGCTCTGATCCAGCTCCAGCTCCCTGCTAATGTGCCTGGGAAAGCAGCAGATGAGACAGCCCAAGCATGTTTGTCCCTGATACCCCCTTTTTTTTTTTTTTTTTTTTGAAAGGCAGGGTGGACAGTGAGAGAGACAGAGAGAAAGGTCTTCCTTTGCCGTTGGTTCACCCTCTAATGGCTGCCGCGCTGATCCGAAGGCAGGAGCCAGGTGCTTATCCTGGTCTCCCATGGGGTGCAGGGCCCAAGGACTTGGGCCATCCTTCACTGCACTCCCGGGCCACAGCAGAGAGCTGGCCTGGAAGAGGGGCAAGAGGAACAGAATCCGGCACCCCGACCAGGACTAGAACCCGGTGTGCCTGCGCTGCAGGCGGAGGATTAGCCTAGTGAGCCGCGGCGCCGGTCCCCTGATACCCTTTTATGATACCTGGATAGAGTTCCGAGCTCCTAACTGCGGTCTGGCCCGCACCTGGCTGTTGCAGCCCTTTGCAGAGAAAACCAGCTGGTGGAAGATCTCTTGCTCTGTTTCTCCCTCTGTCTTCCGAGTAAATGCATCTTGGGGAGGGGGACATTTATAAATCAGGGGGTTTTTGAAAGATTTTATTTATTTGACAGAGTTACATACAGAGAGAGAGAAAGGTCTTCCTTCCATTGGTTCACTCCCCAAGTGGCCGCAACGGCTGGAGTTGTGCCGATCAGGAGCCAGGTGCCAGGTGCTTCTTCCTGGTTTCCCATGTGGGTGCAGGGGCCCAAGCACTTGGGCCATCTTCCACTACTTTCCCAGGCCACAGCGGAGTTGGATTAGAAGAGGAGCAGCCAAGGCTAGAACTGGTGTCCATATAGGATGCCAGCGCCAAAGGCAGAGGATTAACCTGTCCCACGGTGCTGTCCCCCTATAAATCACTTTTAAATTAAAGCCTCATAAAAGGACAGGGGCCCCACAAGGGAGATTTGTGTGGAGTCCCATATGTTATAAATAGGGGCTCCCTTGCATCCAACTTTTTGGATTTGCCCTGCAGATGCTCCTGAATGTATATGGGTACATCAGAAAGTTTGTGGGAAAATGAAATTAATAAGCTTATTTTGGTGCAAAAATTTGACATCCATGCATAGTTTTTTTTGTGATATAAATTTTCCATAAACTCTGGGATGACCCCTCATCATAATAAGGTTATAATAAAGGTCATTTATTACAGCTTGGCTTGTAATAGCAAAATATTAAAAAAAAAAAAACAGGGTTCCTAGTGGAATTAGTTATAGTATATCCATGTGATGGAACACAGTGCAACTGGAAAACAGAACAAGATATCTTTACAAACTGACATGATGAGGTCTCTAAGATATATAGTAAGTGAAAAAAGTGAGGCATGAGTTAATGTACAAAATATTTCCTCCTTTTTGTACAAAGAATGAAAGAAGGATAAATACTTACAAGGAGTAGGCATTTGGACTAGCAGTTAAAATACTGGTTAGGATGCCCACGTCCTGTATCAGCATGCGTGGGTTCGATACCCATATATTTGGAGACTTCAGAAGTTTTATCTACAGATCATCATGATGACAGCTTCTCAAACTACCATCACACAGAGCCTCTATTTATCTCTAGTTCAGACACTAGATGAAGATAGCCTGTCTTTGAGATATATTTTCTGGCATTTCCAAAAGTGCTTTTGTGAATGCCATATTGGATGCCATGTCATTCCAAGTAAACCCTACACAGTTGTAAAAACCTTCTAGCCACTTTCCAACACATGGGGACTCCATTATATGCATCTGAATGATATCGGTACGTAATAGGACCCGGTACACAGACACCATCAGCCTGGTTCAGCAGAGAGCAGCATACTGATCACAAAAAGCACAGCTTTGAAACTGCACAGACCTGGCTTCTCGTCTCACATCTGCCCTTGCCCAGTGTGAAAACTGACTTTAAGAAAGTCAACTTGAGGATTGGTTCCTCCTCTATGAAAGAGTGGTGACTCTTACCTTATGGATCTCATGAAGATCAGGAATAAGATACACCTACATAAGGGCTAGATGGTAGTAATTTATTGGGAGAATATCTTTTCCAAAACATTTAAATGACATACCTGTATTAAATACTTTTCAGTATGGTGTATTCTAAAGACATGGGCAGGTGGAATGTACTTGACCGATAAGTACTCTTCTTCCCAAACCATTTATGTAAGATTCCAGTAATAGTCGTAAAACCAAGAATGACAGCATCTGAACTGTGAGAAAAGCAATTAGGTGGCGCCACAAGTAAGTTGGGCAGCCTGAGATGCCCATTGGCCTTCAAAGGGCCCCCTCTTCCAGGGCACAGGCATGACGTCCAGAGGCTAAGCACATTCTGTCCATGCTTCACTCCCATACGTGTGACTGAGATTATGTAGACAGTTAGCAGCACTGAGCCGAGAGGTGTGGTTTTAAATTGGGGAGATGTGTGCTGATGCAGCTGTACTCTGGGAAACTGAACTGCCAAATCTGTACGCACTGTTCTTGCAAGATGCATTTGTTTGATGGCAGGAAGGGAGGAAAATGCTATTAAGGAGAAAAGGAGGACTGGAGATGTGGCGTAGTGGATGAAGCCGTGCGGTGCCAGCATCCCATGTGGGTGCTAGCTGAAATCCTGGCTGCTCCACTTCCGATCCAGCTCCCTGCTGGTGTGCCTGGGAAGGCAGTGGAAGATGGCCCAAGTCCTTGGGCACCTGCCACCCATGTCAGGGACCCAGAGGAAGTTCCTGGCCTACAGGCACTCCAGACATTGTGAACCAGCGGATGGAGGCTTGCTCTCTCTGTAACTCTGCCTCACAAATAAATAAATCTTAAAAAAAAAGTTTCCCTCCATCCTACAGTGGCCCTATTGTGAACACAGGGCCTCTTGCGTCACTGCAGAAGGGAAAGAGGATAGGGAACTGTGCGTTTCTAGGGACCAAGTATGGAAATGGCCTCCATCACCTCTCCCTGTGGCCCAATTGAACTAACTGCAAGGGAAGCTGGGAAATGTGGTCTTCCCGTCTGCCCAAGAAGAGGAAAAGGAAGTGAAATAGGGTTGAACAGGAGCATTTGCTACCACGGAATTTATGACGCTGTATCTGGGTGTTCCAGGACCCAGAGGGCTGAAGGGCAGGAGACCGGCTATTTGGGAACATGAGAGAGAGAGAGAGAGAGACAGGCCCAGTCGCCCAGTCACCAATTCCAGCTCCTCAGGGCAGGAAACCTTGAGTCATCTTGGCTCTGTCATCTCTGTCTCCTCTTGAAAGGACAGTCTCTGAAAATGGGGCTCTGTTGCTGGACTATAAATAATAGATACAATACATTCACTGCAAAGTTTTTTTTTTTTTTTTTAATTATTACTGTGTTTTGATTCTCCTGTACCTTAATGGCCCCTGCTAATAGCATTTCAGAAGTTGAATATTACAAAATGTGAGATGCCTGTTTATAGAGGGAATGGCTCGGGCTGGATGCTAATTGGATTTGGCATACTTTTATGATTTCCTATGGCTTCATTTCAAACAGACGGGTTTTACAGGGCCCTAATGCAAGTGGATCCGGGCCATCAGTGAAGTTAACAAGTTTTTTATTAAGGGCCATATGTGAGACTGCTCCTGCTCTCGACACGGAGGGGAGTTCAAAAGTGGAGAGCACACATTTTCAGCATTCACAAGATCAAAGATTTGTATATGAGAAAATTCCTATTAGTTACTGACAAGAGTACAAATTGCAAACAAAACTGGGTACGCATCTGGCCTGGCCTAGTGGTTAAGCTGGTTGGAATGCCATCTCTCTGGATTCCAGCTTCCTGCTAATGCACACCCTGGGAGGCAGCAGGCGATGGTTCAGGTGGGCGAGCCCCTGTCTTCCATGTGGGAGACCCAGACTGAGTTCTTTCCCGGCTTTGACCTGGCCCAGCGCCATCCACTGCAGGTATTTGAAGAACTGAACCAGCAGATAGGAGCTCTCTGTCTCTCAAACACATAAATACTTTTTAAAAAAAGCACAAAGCAATTAAATGTTCAACAATAGAGGAATGACTAAAAAAATTATGGTATATAATTTGCAAAATATCTGTAAAATTTATATCCTCACGTATAAACGTATATTTCCAAAAACATTTAATGACATGGCAGAAAGCCTCCGGATGGTAGATGAGTGAAAAAAAATCGGATATCCACAGTTGGCTCTCTCAGCGGGGGGCCCTCCACCATCTCCCGCCCAGAGATTAGAGACAAGCAAGGGAAATCACTCAG